CACACAGAAACTGCTTATTTCATCCCCACATCTAGAGAGACTGACGGAAGCCAGCATGGAGAGGACCCAGACTGTCTCTTCTCTGTGAGTATGGGATGTACCTGGCACCCAGAGTGGCAAAGCATTTGACAGCTATTGTCAGTATGCATGTGCAGCCAGAAATGGGCATTTGTGCTTCAATTAGGATGCAATGTGCCCACAAGTTAACAAAAGTCATACATGGCAGCCATGCATCTCTATTCAGAAAGAATGGACTTCCATGGCTGACTAAGCAGGGCTTTTTTCACATTTTTTGTTTGTTTGTTTGTTTGTTTGTTTGTTTTCAATGTAACAACTTCCAGACCTTTTCCTTTAAAACAAGTATTTAGACATAGGAATTGAGGGCCTGATATGAGCCATTGCCAGGTCTAGGTAGACAGTTAGTTTTACTTACATCAAATAGAATAGAAGCACAACTCCATTTGAAAAGCAAATGGGATACCACTTAATCTTGAATACAGGTTTGACGAAATAGTTTATATGGACACACTTAACTAAATGACTTACTGGAAACAGTCTTGAGTGAGACTCCCAAAATCCATCATCTGAGTCAATTAGTACAACTAAATCTGATTATTTTCCTGCCTCTTGAGCATACACAGACTAAATTTTACTTTTGAATCATCTCAACCAGGTAATAAAATGGCAGAGAGGAAGGCATCACAAAATATCTACTACAGTACGTTTCTTTTTCATAACAGGGAAAGGAGAGACAGGTTACGGAGGTGCCCAAGATGACGCAATGAAGAAGTAGCAATGCCACAGCATCATAACACCTGTGGGGGAATCTGTAGTTACTATTATTGGTGTGGGGAGAAGCAGTCATGAGATAGAATGAGCCTTCACAATGGTAACATGCCTCTTATCCATTTCCCAGCTGCTATGCCATCCCATGAAAAGATGAGAAAACTTCACAGCAGGTAACAATTATTTTCTTATCTCCACCGTGAGGCTCCAGGAATCTTGGCTGAAAAACAGCTACATGGGCTCCTGGAGGGATCAGCCTATAAATAATGCAAGTGATTTCCTTTTTGTGGACTTCCAACATATGCACCATTTTTAAGGCTAATTATTCTCCTTGTTGCACATGGGCAAATCTTACAGAGTTTAGATCAGACAAAACATCAGGATCCCCATGGGTCACCATGAATAGTTCCCCCACAGTGAGACTAGAAATAGAAATTACATGGGAATAGCAGATTACCAAAGGTCTGTGTCTATGCTGGTTGAAAGAGGCTTATATTTATAAACATTATTTTAAAACATCTCAGTATATTGTATTGATATGGAAGTTAGGCTTTTACTTCATTGTATATGTGACATTTTATTTATGGACCAACTAAATATTTTATATAGATACTTCACTCACGTTATTTTTAAGCAAGCCTCTTGAGTAAATATCCCTATTATATATTAAGCAACTAACCATGAACAACAGTATTTGGATATTACTCCATGAGGGATTAAAGCTCCTATAAAGCAACTCCACAGTTAGAGATTTCTGTACACATTCACTTGATCAAAGCTAGAAATATCACCGATTTAATAACAAGAAGAAATCTGTCCCTGAAGAAAGCTGCCTAGTTTTCTTAGAATAAACTGATCCCATCTCCACTATAACAAGAAATAAGCAATGTCCTAGTTAATTTAGCAACTTAAATTTTCAGTATGCTCCCTGGTTCCAAAGAACATAAACACCACATATAACCAAATAATCTTGTGCATTCACAACTTGAGATATATAGAAACTTTGCTGGCAAGAAAAAAGGTGGGCTGTAGTGGCATCTTGCCTTGCCAGTGAACTTGTGGTGGTGGCCACACCCTTTGGGCATGGTTTTATGTTTACTGGCAAGGCAAGATGCCACTACAGGGGGGAGGGGAGGCTTTAGGGCTATCTGATTATTTACATGCCAAAAAATAAACCAATGGATGTGGTTTTCATTTTATTTGAGACAAAAAAATTGCTTCAACAATCAAGCAAGCTAGTTATCTGGTCTGGGTGGCACAGAGGGATAGATGCAGCTTCAGGTTTACTGTGACTAGTATTTCAGGTCCTAATCAGGTGACTTTATGACAGTGTGTGGCACATCACTTCCTAATCACACGATTTATTGGCTTTTAGAGACCCCTATTTCTGGTTAACAGATGAGAAACTGCAATGTAGATTAAATATGTCACTGATAAAACATTGCAGTGACCATTAAGGATCATTCATGTCTAGACTAAACATTCACAATGAATAAAAGGTTTTTCTTCCTCTTTTAATCCCCCACTCTAGAGAAATAATTAACTGATGGCTATAGCTGTGATCTGTATTTCTTCAAAGTAATGACTAGCTCGTGGGCTTTAGGCTACATGCTCACTATACAGTACCACATTTAATCACAAGCTAAATGTAAATAGGAAATTCCCATAGGTTAAGAATTCAAGGCACAAAGAAACAATTTATGTGCTAAAGATCAACAGCAAATAGCAAGACACCCCTCTTTTGAACTAAATAAAACTTCTCTCAGTGCATCTCAGGCAGAAAACTCATTTCAGCCTTGTTGCTTGAGTTCTGGCTGTGGTAATCCGCAAAAGTCTTAAGGGCAAAAGAAGAAAGACACAGGGAACCAACAGTTGAAAACAGAGTGGAGTTGCTCCATATGTAGATGTCAGAAATCCTGACAACACTGTACCAAACCACAGAGATGGAGGACACCTGGATATAGTTTTCATTTGTTTACTTATTATCACTACTATCTGTTCTAAAGGCTGGCTATCAGCTGAGAACCAAAAGTAAAGCCATTGACCTCTACACAGACAAGTTGATAATACAAAATGTTGGTGTCTTCTCAAAATAACATTTTTATTGGGCATAATAATATTATTTGCTAAAATTTTCCATCCTGGTGAAGTAGGTGAAGCCAGGAACACTGCTATATATACAGAGTAATGAGCTTATACTAAAATCAAAGTAACCATTTATACAGAAAAACATTTACACATAAATAAATATGGAGCACAGACTTCACTTCACCCTTCTGAATGTGGTCTCAGAGGTGGGGAGCTCTGAGATTTGTTCATTAGCCTTGGCCATGATTACCTTAGCTGTTCCTCAGCCTTAGCTGTGATTTACTAGAGGACCTCACTCAGCTGACTTCTGTATGAGTTGCACTCTGCGCTCTGCAATCAGACAAAGGGTGAGGCAGGCAGTGGGTAACCTAGGGAGCAACAAGTAGGCTAGCATGCTCTGCCAGGCTAATCCTATGGTCTTGAGTCTTCACTGACTAGCCCTGAGGACAGGGGTTAAAGGTGGCATTGGAGAGAGTAGTGACAACTTAGTTACCTAATCTTAAAATGTTTCTTAACAACAGTGTGACATTATCCTCCAGAAAACACCTCATGTGGATCTTGCCATCAGGGTCAGTCTTAGTGTTCATTTAATCTGAATTGACATTTCTCAACTGCTCAACTTGAAAAAAAAATGTAATTCCCTTTCATTGCATTGGCCTTTGCAGAATCTACTGGCATTGGCTTTTCAAGGGGGTAGTAGTTGATTACTATGAATCTCTAGTCTGTGGGTCTCCTCAGCAGCATCTGAGCAGGACCTACCTTTTTCATCTTTGTGAGAGAAACATTGGCAATGACTGATACATGAGCCTAAGAAGGAACCAGTTGGCTGCATGCAATTTTGTTCTGCAAGCTAGAAGAAATACTTCCAATTAACAAAAGAAACCCTAATTATCTTGAACTGTTTTTAATAACAAGGGATGTGGTAGAGGCTGTTAATTGTAACTTTGTTTATAATGGCAGAGAAAAAAACAAACAAACAGCCAAAAGCAGAATACCCTAAATGTCCATGAAAAAAAAGATATTTAAATAACCACTAGTATTTGGTAAGGCAAATAAAAAAGGGATGAAAGCGCTCCATCCATTCAGGCTTGGAAAGATGCTTAAAATACAGTTTTGAATGAAAAAAGGAAAATTAGAGGACAACATAGTTAGTAGCACATCACATGACAACAACTTTCCAAGTTGATTTTATGTATCTTTCTTGAAGCAGTCAATTGTTGGAAAAATGTGAAGAAGTGTTTGGAAATGTACATAACACACAGATCACAGGTGTATGGGAAATAGGGCCAGTATTAAGGTGATGAAATAAATTGGATTTTTAAATATAGAAAACAAATCTGTATTATTTCTTTTGAAATTAAATATGTGAAACAAAAAGCTTAAATGTGTAGGCTAGAGAGACAGCATGATACAGAAGCATGAGGAAGGATCAGAGTTCAGATTCTCACAGCACATATGTGAAAAGCTAGGCATGGTGCACATATTTGTAACCACAACACTAGTAGCATGGAGGCAGAGAAATCCCTGAAGTTCACTGTACAAATATCACCTGTCTGGGGTTAAGAGAATGGAGCTTGCCACTAGCTAACCACAGAGTTCTGGAGGTCTGTACAGAAAGACAGGAAGTGAGGTAGCTGAGCAGAAACAGGATATAAGCAGGGACAAACAGGAATTCTCTGCTGAGATGCTTAAGAGGTAAGGTGTGCTGCGGCTTGCTCCTTCTCTGAACCCTCCACCCCCGCAAGCGGCTTTATTTGTGCAAGAAAGATATCACCACAAACCGGTACAGATGAATTGGTGAGTTCTATATTCAGTGAGAGATCCTGTCCCAAAAACTTTCAGTGAGAACCAACTGAGGAAAACAAATGAGGTCAACCCCGGGCCCCCAAACCCATGTGTCCCTACTATCAGCACATATACACATACAAGTCACACAAACACAAAGACACATGCATGCCAAATGTTTAATGACAGCAATATAGTGACAAGAAACTACATTCTGTCAAGAAATACATTGTGTTATGGGGAAACAAGTCTGGTCTTTGATCAGAAGGAACTGTGTCCTGTAATGTGTGCTCATTGGAGGAAGAGGTTGGACCTTGAGGGCCACTACCACAGAAACTCACCCAGTGCTGTTGAGGTAGCTCTGTCCCAAGCTGCAGTCTTTTGACAGTGAGGATGGGTTGAACCAAAAAGCTGGTAGGCATTGCCCATTGCTATGTCTCTCATAGCCATAGTCACTGTTAGGGAAATACCCGAGACAAAACTTTTAGCCTGAGGCAAACTTACCCAGAACTATTTCATGTTAGTCCACAACCAACTTCTAATCTGTCAATAAAATGAGCATTACTAAACCAATGCCCTCTAAGCAGGAAATGTCTCTTCTAGACATTATCTATTACCCATGAAAAAGTCTCATAGAACCAATATCCCCACTTAAATGCCTTTAAGTTGTAGGAGTGGGTTAGTTCTCATGTAATTAGGAGCAGTAATTAGGAACCTGGCAGTGTCGGAAGCTTGAGTCTTAGTGAAAGCATCATTGCAGAGGTTAATACAGCCACATGTGGCTCAGTCCTCATTACCAGTGATGTCTTTGGGATGTTCTTCCAAAACATCTGGTTGTAACAGGTAGAGCAGAGCCAGGTTTCTCTGTGTACAAGCCATATGCTTCAGAGTTACAGCCAAAAAGAAAATGCCCTTCAGGAGTATATCAAGCACTTCCCCAAGGAAAAGTTTTGCCCTCAGGAGATAGCAGTGCCAGTTGGTACTAACTGCCTTAAGTCTTGCCTCTGCCTAGAAAAGGCTCAAAAGAATTTTCTCTCAGTCTCTATGCACTCTTGCTTCCAGGGGACTCTGATATTCTTGGCTTCTGGAAGATGAAACTGGGCACAGAAAAGGACAACAAATTGTACCTCCACATGCACAGACAAATCACAGGCAGCAATGGGCAAGCATTAGTCTGAATTGGCCCATCCTTGTAATAGTGGTGAGATACTGGCACATGGAGTGCCTGGAGAGAGAAATGGGCTCAGCCTCAGGGGCCTGTCATCAGGCAGCTGGAACTGAGAACTCTGTACAGACCCTCTGGATTAGGGCCTGGTTCAACACAGCGTGAATAGGAAAACGACAGAGGAGCCACTTCCAGAACACCCAGTGTGCACTCCAGGAAAATACCTTACAGAAGCTAGAGAACCACAAGGAGCATCCAGTGACAGTATATTTCATTATACTACTGTCAGACAAGATTATAGAAAGTCCAGCTATTAACAGAAGCCCGACAAGGGCATGGTGGTCCTTCTAAAATATTTTCAGACACCATGCCATCACAAAAATTCCATCTGAGCAGGAAACCTTACAATAGTGCTATTTAAGACTCATTTTTCTACTCCAAGGAGCACTGTTCAGTCTATGGGATTGGTAATAGACTCCAGTCACCACTGAATTCAAGGATGTGAACAAGACCGACATGGAGGTTTGTCAAGGAGAGAAACTTAGTTAATTTCCTTGTCTTGTACTGCTCTTGCTTTGAACAAAACCAAAATATTCATTTTGAAATCTTATAAGAAAAAATTCAAAGTAGAAAATGTTTTTATGAAAAAAGCAGAATATTTGGCATATCTTAGCCCACTTTTGTTGTTGTTGTTGTTTTTTGAGACATGGTTTCAACAGCCCTGGCTGAAAAAAGCAGAATATTTGGCATATCTTAGCCCACTTTTGTTGTTGTTGTTTTTTGAGACATGGTTTCAACAGCCCTGGCTATACTGGAACTCAATTTGGAGACCAGGCTGGCCTGGATACCATAGAGATCCACCTGCCTCTGCCTCCCAAGTGCTGGGATTAAAGGGTGCATGACCACTGACCTGCCTAGAATGGCTAATTTACAGAACCACAACTCTTCCAGTATCATGCTGACTTACAGATTCTCCTTCAATATGACAGATGATCAAAAATTTTTCAGACTCCAGAAAGGTGGATGTGATGGATGACTTAAAATCTCAATGTAGGTTTTTCTGTATCTTTCTGAGTGTCAGTACCAGGGGAAGGAGAGGGATGAAGTAATTTTGTTGTTGCAGGTGTGTAACATTGACAGAAGTCCAGGTTGGGGAAATGCCCTCTATAACTCCTGTGCTTTCCACTGTTTGAAGCTCTGATGCCCCTGACCTAAGTGCAAAGAGCTACAATGATGGTTCTTGGTTTTTCTTGTTCATCAAGAGAAAGCAATGATGGATTATTGGTTTGACAATTGGCAGACTTTCTCAGCACCACTAATCAGAGAACATCTCCATTGGTCTGTCATTAGGGAAGACTAACTTTTTTCTGTGATGTGAGATGCATGTATAGACACTATGTCACATAAATCATTCATATTTTGATGAGTATAATATGAGCTGTTGTAGGTACACAACACAACATAAATTGAAGTAATAATAATGAATAATATATATGGTTCAAGTTCTGAGTGTTTAACATTTCCATAAATACATATTAACTGCTTCCTCTAGTATATAATGAGATAGATAAAAAATGTAAGAGGGTAAGAGCAACAGAAAATGTGATTGATTAATTATTAGTTTTCATCAATAATTTTTCAATTTTGCCTGAACATTAAACACTGACCCAGAATAAGTCAAAAGCATGGTTGGCTCTATAGTATAGATTTCTGCTTAGCTTATGTCTGGAAAGAACTCTGTTCTCTTTAGTTGATACCTCCCAATGTCTCTCTGCTTCTCGAGTTTAAATTTAGCTCCATAACCACTCAGATCACAGGGTCAAATTGAGTTCACTCTTGCAAAGAGTTTATAAATGTCACTCTCTTAAGCTCTCATAAACTGTGCTTAGTTGACCACCACAGATTGAAAACTTTCAGGGACAGAGAATTTATATCTTTTGAGGTTATTATGCCTATCAAGGGTGCTAGATTCTAGGAAGATTTTATGTAGCACATAAATGTATTTGCTCCCTGAGAACTCCAATTACGATTTCCCATGTTGGTATCTATCCATCTAAAGCAGCTGAAGATAGATCTGGCTTCTTCTTTTTTTTTCTGAGAATACTTCATCAATATAAAGGTAATTTCCAATAATCTTGTAAGGCCACTTAAAATCCAAAGAAGAAACTGCCGGTGTTTTGAAAGAGACAATCACATAGCTAATAAAAACCATGATATTGCCAAGAGAGAATTTTATAAAAACATGAGGTCTGCCACTTAGCCTTAGGTATGGAATCACTTTCTCAAATCTAATCTTTTATTGAGGGCTTCAGGGATGTCATATTGCTGAATAGCTTTGTGAAATAGCTATGGAGGCTCACCAGTCAAAATCTGCCTCCGTGCAAACACACGGCTCAGATTCCATCGCTCCCGCGTATTTTCCTTGCATACACTTCCGCTCAGATTTTCGCTTCTTATATATCCTTTTGGCTCCCATGATGCACGCTTCACCCTGCAAGGAGACAAATATTACAGAAAATCAAGCACAGATTTAGATTTCTCCTATTGGATAACAGTGTGATTTGGGGAGATATTCACAAATGTTAACATAAATAAGATGTTTGGCAGCCGAATTTATGCTATTGGTATTTTCCTTTTGATGCTGATTATGAAGTATGAGCACAGAGGCAGACAAAGCAATGCAGATTTTTTTCCTAATGATAGCCTTGACTCTTTATATATTCATGAAACCTTTTTTTGTTGTTAACGTATTAGCAATGTGAGTGACAATGCCCTTGGTTTGCCTCTGAATAAGAGTAGGTGTTCCTTGCTAATGCTGCACCCACTATCAAATATAGCACCTTTGTGTGTCTGAAAAGTCAGAACAGAATTTTTTAAATCTATTATCCCCTGTCTTTACTGAGGAAACTTGCTTTAACTGCCTCCATTTCACACCATGAATAAATGTGTTACTCAGTCGGAGTACGGTGTACAAAATGTTCACTTCCTGAATATGGGCATGACCTCTTAGTGGGGATGTCTACCATATCCTTTGACTAGCCTGTGCAGATTGACTTCTGTCTTGGGAAATCAAAGAAATAAGCTGTCATCCAAGGATTTTTGTTATGAGATGAATAACTGAGAGGGATGATGTAGGGCAGTTTCCATTAGCTATTTCACAGTCTTATACCATGAGTATCTTAGAGGAGGCAAAAGATGCTGCATAGCCCTAGTGAATCACAGAGATGAGGAAGGACTTTTCTGGCATCACTCACTCAGCATTGGCAGACTATTTTATGTCTTATCTCTCTGTCTACATTGCTCATTGAAACTGAAGAAATGACCCTCACTCCGTGTCTATCATACAGCCATATGCCATGCTCAGACAAATAACGTTTGCATTTCAGTGCTGAGTTGGTATTTCATTTTGAGGTGTAAATCTAAACTAACTAAACAAGTTTAAATTTTCATATCATTATATCTTAGCATAAAAAACAGAAACAGCTTCATAACAATATAAATATTGAGTCAGATCATTCTGTGAGACATAAAACATGGAAGAATAAAATGGACATTGTGAACTTGAGAACTGGAATTCTTAAGCCATGAAGGGTAGTTGTTTCTTCCATCCCTCCCCTGTCTCCTTCCAGGGGTTGATGCTTATCTCTCCAACTCTTACCTGGCTGTGTAACTGCCAGGGTCTGTAGTCTTCTTCAGCACAGCGTCTATCAAAAATGGACTTGTAATCCACCTTGACCAGCTGCCATTCGGAGCGGTGGCTGAAGTGTCCAAATACTCTACAGGGTTTACAATGATATATAAGAGTCACAATCATAAAGACAATAACAGTATAACAACAGCTTATATTAGATTGTCTGCTGTGAAGAAGGCATGTGGCTAGCTCCATTACGTGGGTCACATCTCCTAACTGTGGAACTCATTTATGAGGAGGATGCTATCAGTGATTGCACTGTACAGATGGGTAAATTGAGGCTCAAAGATTTTTATCAATAGTATTGTCACTAGCAATCAGGAAAGCCAGATCTCAAAATACTTGATTCAAAGCCATAAGAATGGTTTAGAAAATTACTGACGAAACAACCACAAATATTATATTTGAAGTGGTCCAACACAAACTTCTAGATTGTTTTGTTAATACATCTGGTCCCATGGCCTTCATATACTTTTACTTTCTCCATCAGGCCCTACAGAAAGTGAACAATAGGACCAAGTAATTACAATTTCTCTTACCTTTTAAAACCTGCTCAAATCACCTTTTCTGCGTACAAAGCAGTATTTTGAAAACATAATGATTAAATAAGAGTGAGCTACTGAACAAACTTCTAATCTAGCTGTGTTTGCCATGTGCAAAAGAGGAAGTGTGGCTACCGGGCATAATAATTTTTTTCTTGTCTTTTCTCATTGTTAAAAGGCTTACACAAATGCCATTTTTTTCACTTTGAGTTTGGCAATTTTACTGATTCCTGGTTCAACTATCTTGGAATTATATAATCTTTCCAGGTTTTCCATGGCCAATTTTCTAAGAACAGGGAATATCACAGTTTCATGTTTTAAATTCAAAGCCCAAGTTCTGAAACTCATATTCAGTTAAGTCATTAATCAAGTCTTTAATGAATTAAAGATCATGCTTTCCAGACAAGAATGAATGAATATTCAATTTTGCAAAGTCATTGTTTCCTTAACATGCCTCACAATTATGTAAGGCCAAGAGTCAGGGAAAAAAATGAAACACCATGGTCTTAAGGGTCTAGAATTTTCTAAATATCCAGTTTGCACTATATTATTACATTTTTTAAATATATAGCTTTATTTTCTATTAAGACTGCTCCTGTTAACTTGCCTAAACTTGTTGAGTACAGAAAGAAAAGAGCACGGTCTTTCCTACCATCATCCCTCAGCCTGGGTCTTCAAAAATCGTTCCCATTCCTTTTCTTCTTTGCTGGAGTTGTTGAAGAATTACGTACTAACATTGCTAACAATCTACAAATTAACAGTAGTAGATACAACAGGCTCAGCTGCAAAACACCTCTCTAGGTTTGTTGTGTCATAGTTAGATGGGATTATATCAAACCACTTACGTCATGATTAGTGTCTCTTCTCCAGGCTCCCCCAGGACCCCATCCACAAAAAGTGGAATGGATGTGAAACTGTATTTGCTCCAAGATCTCCCTTCATCAAAACTCAGCCTAATGGCAGAACAATTTAACAGTCATCACATCTCTGTTTAAGGAAAGATGTTAGATACCAGCAGAGAGAATAATAACACACTGGGACTTAATTACAAGTAAATGTACTTAACTACATCAAAATGCAGAAGCAGAGATACTGAAGCTACTGTGACAAGATGTGTTGGGGTATAAATGAGGGAGAGTCAAATGAAATGGAAAAAATCTAATGGTGGGAAATAATTTAGTTGTTTTATAAATTCTTAAACCTCATGGGACTATCTCCAAATCTATAATGTCTTATTGGTGGTGCTGGGCATAGATACCCTTGCAAGTTTGATAAAATTAAACAAATCTATCTCTAAGTGATCAACTCATGAGCTAGTCCTTCTTACATTACATGAATCCTTGCTGACCTCACTGAATGAATGCCTACGGAAGGATGGGCTGATGAGGGCAAGAGAAGTCTGCATTTCTGGTTGTCTGCTATAATGTAAATGTATGTGTTCTCTTCCACATCCAAATGCTAAGACTAAAATCACTAAGGATGTTAGGGAATAGATACTTGGGGAAAAGTGAGATCAAAAGGGTAGAGTCCTCACAAATGGAACTATTGTCTTATATAAAACAAAATGGCTGGGCCGCCCTATCCTTTTCGCTTTGTGGAAACACAGCAACAAGGCAGTATTTAGGAATCTGAAAGCAGCTGTTGAGCAGAAATGGACTTGGCTAGCACTTTTGTCTTATAATTCTAGCTCACAAAACTATGAGAAATAAATTTATGCTGTCCATGGGTTATCTTGTTATGGTATTTGTTAACAGTAGCCTGACCCTGAGCACTGGCTGAGACAACTGGATAGAAGGGTGTGTTTTATTCTTGTCTTTCTCTGTAGATTCCTTTCCTCAAGATCAGCCTTAGTTTGTCTTCTGCAGATTTCCCCTAGGTCATTAATATAATCAAAGATGGTAGGACAATCAGGTTTTTAACTTTGCACAATCTCAGTGTGTAGTGGATCACTTCCAAATATGGAAGAAGAGGTCCATTATAAACCTCTGTAGACATCAGGCCTTATAACTTCATCAGTATAAGACACAGGCAGGTTGGAGGACTGTTACATCATTAAATGGAACTAAGGAAGTCAGACATGTGAAACAGAAGAAGAGCAGAATAGTCATGACTGGCAAGTCTCTGTGTAGGATGCACAAATATGTGTAGATACTAAACTCCGTGAGATACCTTTAAGGATGAGTGTTTGCAAATATTGTCCACTGCTCAGAGATTATGGGAGAGTGTTAATGAGGCCATCCAGGGGATGATGCTGAGGAACTAAGGAAGTGATGCATGTATTGTCACATTTGAAAACCACAATGCAATTGCTCTCTTGAGAGTAGAAACACTTGCCCATCCTTCGGTTTGTCCCCAACTTCCCATTTCCAAAAACATTGTCCACAGTCTCATTTCAACAGAACAAAAATAGATTATTGCAGTTAGAACAAACATAATCATTGCATGATGGCTAATTCAAAGACTGACCCAGATAAGTAGCCATGTGCATTTTTCTAAGCTAGAAGTCCCCTTACCAAAGGTGTCGAATTGGGAGAGATGTGTGTTTCATAGCAACCAGGACTCCACCTTGATCTAGGTACAAAATACTGTGCTCTTCTTCAAAGATCTGGATCAGAAAAAGAAGAACACACAGGCAAACAACTATATTACATTTGCACCTGGTGTCCAGGGTACAGTCTATGTAGGAAGATTAAAATCTCTCTCACAGAAATAGGTGTCCCTAAATCTTTGAGGAAATGTAAGTGATAAAACAATGCTTCTCAACATGGGCTACATCTACTACTGATAATATATAAAATAATTTTATAGTTTTACAAAATATATTATAATAATGAACAGCTTATATCCGTATTTGTATTCTCTTATATTTGTGTTAGTACTTATCAATCCTTATTTCTGAAGAAGATGTTGGAACATTGGGGAACTGTAAATAGTGAACATATCTGGATGAAAGGAAACTTGGAGACAGTTTAGCACAATATTCTTATCCATATACTAAGATCTGTAAGCTGAGGATGCACAAACAACAGTGGGTGAAAGTGAGGCTCACTGGACTGCATTGCCCTCTTCAGATGGAATTAATTATCTCCAAATTCTCACATTTGATCCAAGAGATGTTTTCTCATTTGACTCATGGGTATCCTTCCAGCTGACACATAGTTCTAATCAAGGTAAAAGTCTAACTGTGGCTACACTTAAAATTGAGTCATAGGATGTGGAGAAACGATTCTAAAATCAAATGGAGATATTCCAGAGTCTCTAAATTTTCCTATATAAAATGCATTCTGGAGTTTCAGTTAAAATGTTATAATAGACTCATCTAAAGTTATACTACAGACACAATCTCTCTTATTTAATTATATATAAGCGTGTGTGTGTGTGTGTGTGTGTGTGTGTGTGTGTGTGTGTGTGTGATATATGTGCA